GAGGAAGGCAGCTTGTACAGTTGCTACTTCCTGCTCCTTGTTCTGGAGGCTATGGGGCTCTCTCGAGGTCCCAAGAATGTTATGAAATGGAAAAGGGTTGGATCCTTTAGCTGAGGGGAGAGTAGGTGTGAGGAGAGCAGGAATCCTAACCAGCCAGTCTCTGAGTTAGCTTTCTCCCAAAAGTCTTCACTCAGTGTGGAATACAGCCATTCCCAGGATCTTTGGGCTAGTCCTCAAGCAGGGAGAAGGGCTAAAAACATACAGGTCCTGCCACCTTCCCCTTGCCTATCGTGAGGGTTCTTTCTCATGTCCCTAACAAGGCTATAAGAGAGCCAACATCTTCCTTCATGAAGTGTACTCACTTCTTTCAGCTTCGTGACACCGTGGAACAAGAATCTTCATTCAGGAAAGGCCTGTGGAAACTCCTGCCTGGACTCTCAGCTGAGAATCCCGCATTCTCTTCTGGAAAATGCACAGAGCCCTCAGCATCCAACAGTGCTGTAAGTCCAGAAAACCTGCCCCAGGAAGTGTGCAGCTACATGGCTACCTCCTGGCCCCTTACTTGCCTCCAAGTGGTAGCCTGCATTAAAGGCACTATCATCCAGGAAGCCAAGTCTTGGAGGAGGAGGAGAAGAGGGGAGTAATGATGACAATAAATAGCATATTTGGTACCTAAGTCTTATGTACACTCTTTTACCAACTACCATCTACTTTGCTGTCCTGGATACACTTGATTTTAACTAAAAAAGTCATAAAGAAATCTCTGTCTCTCTCTTATATTGCTTTGTATCCCAGATTGGCCTTGAACTCACAACACACTCCTTCTACCTCAGCTTTCCATGCTCTGGGATTACAGGCATGCACCATCATGTCTAACCATATTCCTAACTCAGGACCCTCCTCTTCTTCATGATTGACACCTGGGGATGTCCCCAACTTTATGCTGGCAACTTTGAATATGATTGTCCTTTGCACTCTTGTGGGTAGCTTATTAAAAACCCCACAGCCCCAGAAGTTCTATTCCTATTTGCCTGGGGTGGGGCCTGGTATTTTAAAACCTCGGGTGTGATGGTTATTCTTAATTGTAAACTCAATAGGATTTAGAATTACCATGGAAACAAATCTCTTGGCTTGTTGGTGAGGGATTATCTAGACTAGGTTAATTGAATTGAGAAGACCCATCCTAAATGTTGGTGGCATCATTCCCTGGGCTTGTATCTCAGACTGGATAAAAAAAATCAAGTGAGCTGAGAATGAGTATGTACGCCTCTCTGCTTCCTGACTGAGGATGCAATGTGGCTTCAAGCTCCTGTTGCCCTGACTTCCTCACCATGATGGACTGTACCCTCGAACTGTGAACCAAAATTAAACCTTCCTTAAATTGCTTTGGTCAGGTATTTTGTCACAGCAACAAGACAAGTAACTAATACGCTAGGTGATTCTGGTATGTACTCTGAATTAAGTTTCTGTGCTCAGTGCGATTTGTGATATATATATATATGATGCTCTATTGCTGGTTCCTGAGCCAGACATATCTGTTCCTGTGCCAGTCCCAGCCTGGAGCTCAGGGTAAACTGAGTGTGTACGGTTTGCTTAGATGCTGCCCCAGGTATGGGGTATGGAGTATGTGTGTGTGTGTGTGTGTGTGTGTGTGTGTGTGTGTGTGTGTGTGTACTTGTGTATGTAAGCAAGGCCAGGGGAAGGAGTTTTTAGAAGGAGGGGTAGAAAGAATAGTGTTCCAACTGTCTTCTAAGGGTTAGTGGTACAGGTGAGGAGTGGGACAGCAGTCCCCAGAAGACCTGGCCTGGCTATTATCAAGCCTATTACCAGGGGAGAAAATAGGTTTGGGGACCGTGGAAGTTAACACCAAGGTGGAGCCCAAGGACTGTTCCTTGGAAACTGCTGGCTATGGAGGCAGGTGCAGAGGCCTTTCCAGAAGCAGGACCCAGCTGGTACTCTCTTCAACCTTCAGAGGCCTTCCTCCATTCCCTGTCCCATCATCTGTGTCTCTCTCACTTTTTAAACCATTAGATTTCACAAGGAATCTTCCTCGATGAATTCAATCTGACTGGCAACTGCACTCGACGGGACACTCAATGTGGCTTTTGTAAGCCCAGCCTATTCTCCAACAGGGACTCACGCTGCTTTGTGGTCAACAACTGTCTCCCCTCCCCAAGATTTCTTGTCCCTCCCTCCTGCTTTCAAAGGTGGCTTTGCCCTTGAGCATGCTTAGCATGCATTTCCTGAAGTGTGGCTGCATCCTTCCCTAGTTGTCTCTCTAGACCTGAACTATCTGCATGCACAGTAAGTGGGTTAGACTAGCACGGTCACTTTTGAAACAATTAACGTAAGAAACTAAGTTCTTGAGTACTCTTTTTTTGGTTGCTTTTTGAGACAGGGTTTCCCCATAGCCCCAGCTGGCCTGGAACTCACTATGTAGACCAGGTTGGCCTCGAACTCACAGAGGTCAAGGTGGAGCCCAAGGACTGTTCCTTGGAAACTGCTGGCTATGGAGGCAGGTGCAGAGGCCTTTCCAGAAGCAGGACCCAGCTGGTACTCTCTTCAACCTTCAGAGGCCTTCCTCCATTCCCTGTCCCATCATCTGTGTCTCTCTCACTTTTTAAACCATTAGATTTCACAAGGAATCTTCCTCGATGAATTCAATCTGACTGGCAACTGCACTCGACGGGACACTCAATGTGGCTTTTGTAAGCCCAGCCTATTCTCCAACAGGGACTCACGCTGCTTTGTGGTCAACAACTGTCTCCCCTCCCCAAGATTTCTTGTCCCTCCCTCCTGCTTTCAAAGGTGGCTTTGCCCTTGAGCATGCTTAGCATGCATTTCCTGAAGTGTGGCTGCATCCTTCCCTAGTTGTCTCTCTAGACCTGAACTATCTGCATGCACAGTAAGTGGGTTAGACTAGCACGGTCACTTTTGAAACAATTAACGTAAGAAACTAAGTTCTTGAGTACTCTTTTTTTGGTTGCTTTTTGAGACAGGGTTTCCCCATAGCCCCAGCTGGCCTGGAACTCACTATGTAGACCAGGTTGGCCTCGAACTCACAGAGGTCCACTTGTCTTTGTCTCCCAAGTGCTAGAATTAAAGGCATGTGCCACCATGCCTGGCTTATCTGGAGTACTCATAATCTACCTGTATCTGGAGAACCCCAGCATATTCATTAATGCCAAGGTGGGGTGGAAGTTCACTTCACACCTTCGCAAACAAAATAAGCAATTCCTAACCTGTGTTGTCTCAGGGCTTTACACTGTGATGGCCCTTGGCCGAAAAGACAACAGCCAATCTAGAATCTAGGATCCCTGGGACTCTGAATTCTTGGAGTAGGGATTGTCACAGTGGCCTGGCCCAGGGCAGCCCAAAATGTGACCGAGGTAAATGAATGCATGAGTGAATTATATGAATCCTATAACATATGGAGTTCATCCTCTTAGTCACCTGCAGCCCAGGGAATGGAGGGATGGTTCCATGGTCTGCGGAGGACAGGGCTATCAGCTAGGACAGGGCAATGGCAGCTTACTTAGCCACCTAGGGAGGGGCTGCTTCAAGTCATCCAGCCTTGGGTTCCCTTCCCTGACTGAGGAGGGCATGGGCCAAGGGTTTGGGGTTTAGGCAGGAGGAGTTATGGCCTCACTGGCAGAAAGTTTTTCTTAAGCCTAAACTGGTTGTGGATGCAGAGCTGGGCATCCAGGTTCCAGACCTGGGGAAGGGGTGGGTCTGGCACAGAGCTCCACCCACAGGGCTGTGCTTGGGACTAATTGGCTTGCCCTCCTTCCTCAAGCAGGAGAAAGTCTTGGCTAATTTGCCGGAACGCTCTAGTTAAATGCCAATTAAGACTTTCTGTCCACTGCTCTCTTCCAATATATTAATAATGCAATTAAGCATTTATTGCCTGCACAAATTAAAAATTAACTTAAACAGACAGCCTGAAAAACTGAGGAAGTGACCGCTTAAACAACCAATTTGCATTTTATTTGAATATCAACATCTAAACACAGCCCTGCCTGTCCTGGGTGCCTAGGTTTGGCCTTCTAGCAAGGGGCCCAGCCAGCTGCCAACAGCTGCTGGCTTCTCCTTTTCCATGCTTGATTCCGCCTGTCTGTACTGCCCCAATCCTAGATGGGGAGGAGGTGGCCTTGTTCCCACATGGACCAGAGGGCTTTCTACTAAGTAGCAGCCTTGGCTTCTGTGGTCCCCACCCCCTCTCCCAAGGGTCTACGGTGTGGATCTCAGTGAAAAGAGATGCCACCGGGGGTGAGTAGAAGGGGGCAGTCCCCCTGTCCTCCCACCACGGGGATTGATTTGTCCTGCATTCCAGTCCCGGAGATGGGAAGCAGATGGTGCTGGTGTGGGGTGGAGGAGGGAGTTGAGGAACAAGGAGGCTTTCCCTCCAACCAGCCCCCTGGGAGGGTGGCAAGGCTGGGACCAGGGAGAGCTGTTAGAAGATGGGGCTGGGCTGTATACTCAGAATAGAAGATAAAAGGATAAAGGACCCTGACTCTGTTTCCAGAGATCTGTCTAACACAGCAGGTGCACTGTTTCTAGTTTTCCTCTCCACAGAGTCACAGCAAGGGGACCTGACCAGGAGCAACAGGACTCTAGGGAAGTGGACAAGAGAGGACCTTGGGAAGGTGTGGTGACCAAGTCAAGAGCTCTGAACAGGAGATGTCTGTGGCTCTAGCCAGTGTAGGCTCCCCTCAGCTGTGTCCTTCTGTCCTTTCTTGAAGCTCCCCACCTCCATCCCTTGCCTGCAGAAGCCAACTGTTCCCTGCTGCCACACACAGTCCCTGTCTTCTCATGCAGGGATGGCTCCATAGCGGCCTGTAGGCAACTGGGGACTCCTGCAAGGTGGAGAGCATGGCACCCCAGGGACTCTGAGTCTCTGCCACAGAATCAGGGGTTCTGGCAGCTGCTTGCCTTCCCGGCCTCTTGTTGTGCCCCCTGTAGCTTTGCCCACCCCACTGCAGCAACACGAGACAAATGGGCTTGTTTTAACACTTTATTTATAAAAAAGTACATTTTTTTTCCTCAGTCAGTACATTTTCAACCCATCATTTGTTTTATACAAGTAAAAGGGGGTGAGGCAAACACCCCCTGGGTCAGAACCAGGAGAATCTGCTGGGCTGTCCCCAAGACCAAAGACAAAAAACAGTGACGAAGAAACCAAAGCAAAGGAAGCTAATCACACTCAGAGGTGAGGGTGGCAGCTTCTCCTGGATTTTTGTTTTCATTTGTACAAACAAACAAACAAACAAAACAAAACAAAAGAAAAAAAAACATTTTTTTTCCCAGCCAACAAGCTCATTTCTCACAGCAGGGGTCAGAAGAGCAGCAGAGAGGAGGCTGGAGTCCACAGCTCCTGGCCATCGCTGGCCCAGGGCAGTTTGAGTGACCTGCCCTCACCAGGAGAGGGTTTCAGTTGGCAGTCAGGCTTCGGGAGTCTTTACTTGGATTCCTGAGGCCTGGGAGCACCCCCCTCTTCCCAGGAGAGGGAGTGCAATGTCTGTCCCATCCACCTGACCCAAGTCCTGATTCTTCCACCTTGAGGATGGCAGAAAAGTTATTGCACCAGTGACTGGGATACATGGGGGTGGCTGCCAGAGGGGTACATACCCAAGATTTGGGTCCCTGTCCATCTGTCTTGGGCCCAAGCACAAGGAAATCAGTTTCCTGTAAGGGCTTCTTATTCCTCTGTGCCTATGTGACCACTTGAATGTACGCGTGCACACGTATGCCTGTGCTTGGGTCTGCGGGAGGTGTGTGTGCGCGTGCATGCGTGTATGTGTTCACATGCACTGGGCTTGTGTTCACTGATTCTGTGCTGCTGCTTTTCAGATCCTTCTGGTAAAAGGGGACTCAGGGGGTTGTTGCACATTAGAACAACACCAAAATCTATAGTGGAAACGGGTCCGGGGCAGTGGGGGAGGCAGGATAGGGAAGGTAACAAGAGGTGAGATGACAACTGGAGGGGCCTTGGCACGGTTAACACCAAGTTTATTTTCTTTCCAGCAAAGCAGAGGCTCATCTTGTGCTGGGGGCATGAAGGTAAAGTAGAATGCCCACTTCTATGCTGGGCTGGGTCTCCCTCTGCCAGTTGGCTGTGTCCATGGTCCCACAAACAGTGGGAACATAAGGATTCTCATCCCTAGGCCCCACTGTTGACCCCTGCCTCCTGCTGCATGGACCTTGTAATTTGTGCTTTGCTTGGGGGAAAGGCGTGCAGGTATCTTAAGGGGGGGGGGTGCAGGTGCTTCATCCTGGCCCAGGCCTCCTCCGGCCATTGTAGTGAGGAACAAAGATGAGTCCTTTTAGTCTCGTGGTTCCAGAGGGACAGGAAATGCCTCTATTGGGCAGTCAGGGCCTTGCCTCCTGCCTGTGGGCAAGGGGACCAAGCAGTGGTATGAGGAGTAAGACAGTGATGTGACATGAGAGGGACACTAATACTGCTGGGAGAAGCAGCCCAGCTCCTCATCTCCCTCTGCCCGTGACTAGAGAGGTCCCAGAATTTTCTTCCCCCAACTCTACCCCATTCAGTGTCCCCAATGCCAAGAGAGGAGAGCCACCACAGGGCTGGCATGGCTTCAGACTTCTGCTACGTGGCTACTGGGTGGCCTGGGCTGGGACAAGGGCAATGAAGGCTGGTGAAAGGGTCCCCAGCTGTTGGGCTGAGGGGTGCCAGGGCAGAGATGGTGCTTGGACTGGGGGTTCAATAGCAGCACCAGGGAGGGGAGTAGAGTGAGGGTTGGGGCTCCCTTAGGAAGCCAATGGCAGGGTAGGTCAGTGCCCGTAGGGCACAGAGTGGTCTGTTTCCCTCTCCCCAACACTTGCTATCTCTCAGGGCATGCCACTCTTGGCTGAGTTGGGTGAGATCCTAATATCCAGGCTCTAGGGCTCTTGGAGCCCACTTTGCCCACCCCAGGGCATGGACATGGCCGTCTAGAGTGGGGGGAACCTGGGGGGGGCAGATGGAGGAACTGAGGCACTTTGAGCAGGGGACAGAGGGCTGGGAGTGTCCTTCCTCCATACATACATGGGAATGTCCAGCCCTGGATGGCTGAAGGAGCCAGAGTCCCATTCAAAGAGGGAGTCTGCATGCAAAGAAGGGCCCCTCCATGGTTCCCCCTCATCTCAGCATGGCACCAGGAGAAACTGAGCAGGGATCAGACTGTGGATGAGCAGCAGGTTCCTGGGTGCCCCTGTCCCTGTCCCTTCTGCGAAGCCTGTGACATCTATGTTGGCCTTCGCATGTGAGGTGTTAGCTGTCCTCTTCAGTCTACCAGACGGTGTTTGCAGAGCTTCTCCCACGCAGCTGCCTTCTCCACACAAATACTTCTTTGCCTTGAATTCCCTTCTGGGATCCCAGCCCTGACCTTCCAAGAGAGTCAAGCATTGCTAGCACTTGATAGATAAGGAGAAATCTGAGAAACGTTCACACTGAAAGGAGAGGTTGGGGCCATCCTGATCTTAGCATGGCAGCAGCTGGGAGGTTCATGTTAGCCGTCTCTAGATGCTTCTCTAGGCTGCTCCATCCTTAGCTGGGAAGAGGGATGAGGTGGAGCAGAGGGGTGGGCCTTGGGCAGTGTCCAGCCTAGTTGGGGCATGAGAGCCCTGGGAGAGATGGGCATAGACCCAGTGGTGTGTGCATGGATGTATGTGCACGTGTTGGCAGGCAGAGGCATACAGGAGGTGTGGGCAGAGTCCACCTGGGGTCACCCATTGTGTGGAGAATGGATTAGGGTAAAGGAGAGGGATATATTAGAGTTGGGCCAACTCCACTTTGTAGGCCAGAGGGGGGAAAACAACAACATAAAACCACCCTCACCAGGAAAACACGCTGCCCAGGCCCCAGTAGGAACCCCAGCTCCATCACTTTACAAACAAGACCCTCCTGGATCCTCTGGAGAAGCCCTCATTCCTCTACCTCTTGAGTGTACCAGTTTATGGTGAGGGGCTTCTCTCTGGGAAGAGGAGCAGCGTCTGGGGGTGGGGTGGGGTGCTCTTTATCTTGGAGTCCCCTGTGCCCTCCACCCCCAAAGAAGAGAATACAAACAAATTCCAGTGTTGGGGTGTGGGGGAGGACTAGCTCCCCAAACCCGGGAGGGATGCCCAAGTACACAAGACAAGAACAGGGCTCCCTACATAGAGGGCAGTGGGTGTGGTCCTTAAAGGAAAGATATAACAACACCAAAGCCACAGTTGAACACAACACCATAAGGAAGGGCTCGGGGAAGGAGGAAATAAAAAAACAAAGCCAAGTGGGGTCTGCCCTGGGCTCCCCTGGCTCCCCAGGAGTTTGGGGCTGTTTGAGTGTGGCAGCTGGGTGAGTCTTTGCCCAGCTCCTGGGGCAGTGGGCAGTGGGGGTGGACAGGGGGCGTGCGGGTAGGGGCCAGGGAGAAGTGGGCACAGACAGATGCTCCAGAAGGGGGGCTACACATACCACTCCTTCTTAGAAATGAAAGACCCGTCATTCTGAGAAACCATGTTCTCAGCTAAGTCCAGCTGCTCAGGGTCGTACTGGTAGCCCAGAGTCCGGTCCCCATAGCCGTCCTGACGGGCCTCAGCCTCATCCACAGTGAAGTAGGGCCGCTTGGCATCCTCGTCATATTTGGGGTGGGGACCGCCCACTTTGCGCTCACCCCCTCCACCGCCCTCCTCCTCCTCTTCCTCCTCGTAGCTGCTCCCGCCCAGTGGGCCAGCCTTCTTCTCATCATCAGAGTCATCCGGGTACTGCAGGTTCTGTGCCATAGGTGGGTGATGCTGGGGAATGCCTGCCTTGCTGTAGCCATTGCCGTACACATGCTTCTTGGTACTGTAGTCACCCTTGAAGGTGTGCCGGCGCCGACGCAGGGCTACCACGATCCCTCCGACCACAATCAGCACCAGCAGGACGCTCCCTGCCACGCCCCCAATGATGGCTGTGGGCACCTGCCCTGCTCGCCGCCCATGTTCAGGAGATGGGGTGTAGGGGAATTCTGGATGAGGAAAAGAGAAGGAGGGGACAGTGTTAGCATCTGCTTGTTGGGAGTCAGCAGGAGTGTAGGGAGGCAGGGGAGGGGAAACGCCTGGGAGAGGATGTCCACACCCCAGGTTTGAGCAGTTCTGATTTCAGAGGCCCCTCAGCACTGCACTTCCTAGGGCCCAAGTTATCTAGAGCAAGATAAGGAAGAGGAGATATGCAGCTAACAGTCCCCACAGCACCAGGGCTGCCCATCCTGACTGTCCCTGAAGGTGGTGCCAGCCCCCTCTACCCCATCGTGGTATGGAGACATATATGCAGTGGCTCCCTCTACATGTACCCACCAAATGCCCCTCACTATCATAACCCTGAGGGTGGTCAGCTGTTTACTTTCATTCAATGCACCAGGACACATGTAGGAAGGTTCATCTACCCAAGGCCACCTAGTCAGTGATACAATACTGGTTTTATTTTTTTGCATGTAAACCCTATACATGTCACTTTGCCTGACACTCAGAGGTCATTGTCCTAACAGTGGGAGCCCACTAGGTATTCCAGGACTGCTTTCTTCTGTCTTCAGGGCACAGGGAAAATGAGGTCCCAAGTTTTGGCTCAGTAGATACCCTGTGAGTTCCAATCAGCTGCCAGGGTGCCAGAAACTTAGGGCTGCGGCTTTTGGCTATGGTCTGTCCCTGCAGGGCAAGGTGAAGACCTATTGGTACTGTTAGCTTGGGCCGCAGAGCTGAGACACCCAAAGAGGCAGGCTGTAGCCACAGAGTAGGACCAGGCAGAAAGTGGGTGCTCTGCACCTGTGTATTACAGACCAGGAACATACACGTACGAGCATGTGTAATGGTTCACACCCCTGGTCTGGCACAGTGAATGTGTGCATAGAGTTATGTGGATAATGAGGAGAGAGTAAGCCGGGTATGGTGGCTCACATCTGTAATCTCAGGATTTGAGAGACTAGGGCAGGAAGACTGTTGTGAGTTCAAGCCACATACGCACACACGCACCATATATATATATATATAAAATCTCAAGATTCTGTTTCAAAAAAGCAAAAGTGAAGAAAAAAGAAAAACTAACAATAAAGACAGAATAGAAATGAACAAGGGAATAAAGGTGAGAAACAGAACAGAATGAAAGACTGGAAGATGGAAGGGGAGAGAAGGCTAGGTGGGCGGTTTTTGTTTCAACCTTGCTGCCTTTTCTCTTCCCTTCTTGTCCCTTCCAGGGCCTGGGAGGTGGATGAGTGAAGTCAGGCCAGGCCAGGCCAGGCTAGGCTAGGCCAGAGGCCAAGAGGTCCCAGGCCAAGACTCGGGAAGATGGTTCCTAGTATTACCACAGGGTGGCACTGGAGACCATGACTGGCCTTGGTAAGGAGGAACCAGGGTATAGACCTTGGACAAGCCTGGAAGGTTGTCTACCCCTAACCCCCTCAGCTGTATCTCTTCAGGCCAAGACCATGGTACAGGGTCTGTCTGGGCCCACATGGCTGCTCCTGGGATCCTGCTGCAGCCAACTCACTCCCTGATTCATCATCACTCACTCCATTGGAATCATGCTCCTCCCATGGGTCCAGTGTGAGCGTGTGGGGCACTGTTGGCAGCAGGCAGGAGCAGCGTGGAGGTTCCTGTAGCTTAGGCTGGAAGGGCTAGCAAAAGATAGCATGGGGCCCCCAAAGGGTGAAGGCATTTGCCTTAAGGTCATGTAGCTGAGCTGTGGCCACCCACATGCTCTTGAGCCTGGAACTAGCAGAGAGAAGCAAGAGCCCCAGGACTGGGTTCCCCATTTGTCACCATTTGTCATCTTCAGTGCAGGTTGTTGAGAAACTGGCCATCTATGTTTCCTGACTATCTGTCCCAACTGTCTATCTCTAGAACAGTCTCTGGGAGCCTGAGCCTCAAGCTTCTCTTGTTTGGCTAGGTCCCATCTGCTCACTGCCCTTGGAAAAGAACCATGGTACCATGAGACGCAAGCCACCCCCATATGGGCTGTCCCACAGGCAGATGGGAGGAACCTTATTCATCCATACTCTCCATCTACCTCCCTCTCTTCAGTTCTCTCCAGAAATGAACTTCCACATCTGCCTCCTGTTTTGGGGGCTTTTTTGTTTTTTGGTTTGAGACAAGGTCTCGATATGTAGCCCATGCTGGCTCTGAACCTGTGATCCTCCTGCTTCCTCTTCTTGAGTGCTAAGACTAAAGGTCACCATACCCAGCCTGGCCTGTCTTCATCTGTATACTTCCCCATTCAGTCAGCAAACATACCCTGAGCATCTTTCTTGCTAGTCACAGGATACAAGAAACTCAGTCTTGCTACAGAGCCAAATGGCATGCTTAGAGTCAGAGCAAGCAGCAAACAGACATCAAGGGAGCTGGCAGTAAGGTGCTCAGCAGTGTAGAATAATACTGAGGCATGGACTTAGGCCAGCCTTGAAGGATGGCATAGACTTGGAGAGGCCAAGATAGTAATCATGCTGTCCAGAAGGAGGGACCAGCCTGTTGCTTTTGAACCGTGCCCCTTGTCTTGGATCCCCAGGTTCTCAGCTTTCTTTCTAAGTGTTCTGTCCCCACCTGCACTGCTTGGCTTTCTTCAGCTATCCACAATGGAGGCTTTGCCTCTGGACCTATAGCCCTTGCTCTTTTCTTGTAACAGAGCTGTCTCAATTTCATGTGTTACCTTGATCTTCCTGGCTTTCTAAACCATTTCAAGTGCATAACTCTTGTCCAGCTGCAGAACTGTATCTCTGAAGACCTTTGGGACAGAATTTCCCAAACTGTGCCCTATGGAATCTCAAGCTATTACCTTAGAGGCTCATCAAAAATATTAGGTACAAGCACTTTGAGAAACATTGGCTGAGACAAAGCCCTCCACCTTCTCACACATACGATACTGTTAAGAGAGACATGTAAGACAGAGTGTTTCCCAACTTCCTGGAGTCTGACCTCTATCTTTCTGCCTATCAAACCATCTCAGGGGACAACATTTAGGATTACAGATTTGTGGATCCTGATTTGGAATTCTCACCACCAGCTCAAAACCCATCTGTTCCAACATGGCTGGCCGCCTTCCTGTCTAATTCTCTCATTCAACACACCTCCCCTGGGTCTTCCATTGCCATCACCATTTGTTTATTCTTCTAGCTCAGAATCTCCATCATCTGGCTGGCTCTTCCCATCCATGATCACATTGTTCCACACCAGGTTTTGCTGTTGTAGATTCCCAGGGCCTCCCACTTTCACAGGGTCTCTGTCTTCTTAGCTGTCACACTTACCAGATTAAATTCCCATTGTAAAGACGTGATCATTCCCTATCTCAAAGACCAGCAATGACTCCCCATTGCCTCCTGGGCTTTACAGTCTGGCCTTACATTACAGCTTCTATCATGTAACGTCACCTTGAGTTTGGCCAACTCAATGTCACTGCTGACTGCTATGATTTGAATAATTGTGCTCGTCAAAGGCCCATATATTAAAGGCTTGGTTGCTAGATCATGGCAATCCTGGAAGGTAATAGCACCTTTAGAGGTAGGGCCCACTGGGATGAAGTCCAGACACTGGGGGTGTCCCCTTGAAAGGGATATTGGGACCCTGACCCTTGTCATTTTTTTTTAAATTAGCTGCCATGATGGATGAGCAGGTTCCTCTACTTCATATACTTTCCATGATGCCCTGCCTTACCACAGGCCCCAAAGCAACAGGTCAAACAACCATGGACTTACCATTTTTGAGACTGTAAGCTAAAACAAACCTGGCCTATTTTTAAATTAATTACCCCATAATATTAGTAATCAGAAAGCTGATACATTGTGTTTGCTCTTCCTCCTCCCCCTTCTCTCTCTGTCTCTCTCTGTCTCTCTCTCTCTGTCTCTCTGTTTCTCTCTCTCTCTCTCTCTCTGTGTGTGTGTGTGTGTGTGTGTGTGTGTTACTAGGGATTGAACCTAGAGCCTGGCAAATGCTCAGCAAGTACTCTACCACTAAATTCTATCTTTAGCCCTCTTTTGGCTTCATATTTTGAGACAGGCTCTCACCAAGTTGTCCAGGTCAGGCTTGAATTCATTCTGTAGCCCAGGGAGGCCTTGAACTTATGATCCTCCTGGGTCTCCCAAGTAGCTGGGATTATAGACCCAGGTTCAAGTGAGTTTCTTACTACAAACCTTTACTTGTGCCATGTACCCTGCCAATACTGCCTTTTCTCAACCCTCTCCCCACCGACTGCAACTCTTCAGTCTCTTCATGCAGAAGTCTTTTCTAGCTCACACTTAATCTTTTCTCTGTAGAATTCTTATGTATTAATGGTCTGCATTCCTTACTCTATTTTAAACAATTTCAGATCTCAATGTATTAATTACAAATTAATTGAAAATAAATGAAAATTAGGATTACCACTGTTAGTTTTGTTTCTTTGGTCAGTTTTCAAAATGACTAGCACTCTTCCCTTCAGTAGGCGCAGAGAAAGGGCTGGAGGAAGTGACTGCCTTGTCCTCTGGGGCTGACTCATTGCAGTGAGTAGTTGTATATAACATAAGCTCCAGTCTATGGTTACTTTTGTGCTTTTCCAGCAGAGAACCAATGAAAAATAAAGCGCTCTTACATTTTACGCAGCTAAATTGGATTTTCTGGCCCCAATAGTTACAGCATGGCAGGGTTTACTGTATCATCTGTCTGATGAGAATGGCCGGTGTCCCCAACTACTTTGTAAATTCTAATTTGAAATAAATCTAAACTCCAGCCACGTCTCACCATTCCATCCCAACTACCCTGGTCCAAGACACCATCATCTCTCACCTAGATTATTTATGGCCATTGGCACCTAACTGCTTTCTACCCTTTCCTCTATGGGCTATTTTTGACACAGTAGCCAGTGAGATCCCATTAAAACATGTTATATCTCATCACTACTCTGCCTATAGCCCACCAGTGACTCAGTTTCGCTTTTAGAGAAAGCTCAGAGCTGCAGAGCCTAGAATGTTTTCCATAACCAGGGCCCTGTCCTACTTCTGACATCATCTCCAGAGCTGCAGAGCCCAGAATGTTTTCTGTGACCTGATCCCTGTCCCGATCTCTGACATCATCTTGCCCTGCTTTCCTACAGAGCTCTTCACTAGGCATGGAGCCTTACTCTATCACCTACTTCAGGGCTTGGTTTGAACATCTCTTCCTCATGGACGCTTTCTCCACCATCCTATTTAAAATGGAAACAGATAAGTCCCCTGTCCCTGGCACTGTGACCTTTCTCACTGTTCTTTTTCCCATGTTACCTTCAGGATTATCCTATAGGCTTCACAAGGACAGAGCCTGGCCTGTTTGCTAAGTGTGTAACCCAAATGCCTAGGTCACATGGTGTGTGCCTGGAGTTCAAGAAATCTTTGTGGGACTGGAGAGATGGCTAAGAACGCTAGCTGCTCTTGTTGAGGACCTGGGTTTGGTTCCTAACACCCACATGGCAGCTAACAGCCATCTTTAACTCCAGCTCCAGGGGATCTAACGCCCTCTTCTGGCTTCTGTGGGCATTGGATGCACACGGTGCACTTACATATATGCAGGCAAAAGACTCATATACCTGAAATAAAAATTTTAAAAACGAAATCTTTGTCGAGCAGAAGAACACTTTCTCTCATAGCAAGACTACCTTAGGGTTGACAGTAAGGCTCAGTCTAGGCAGAGCAAGTGTTCAGGTGACACTCAGATAAAGCAGCCTGAGGTGTACTGGGGACTCTTTTTAGTGGAGTGGGAAACAGGAGTAAAGCAATGATTTTGAGAGACTACACTTTGTCCCCAACCAGGTCCTCTACGCCCCCGCCCCCCAAATACCTAGAGGTTTACTTTTCCCTGGGGAACTTTTGGGACCAAAGGGAACCCTTGTTATTTTGACTACTTTAGGGTCAGGCCTATGTAGAGGCAGAGGGATAGCTAACTAAGATGCCAGAGTAAAGGTATAAGGTGAGGCGAGCAGAAGAGAGGAGTAGGTGTGAGGACTCAATTCATGTGTAGGCAGAAGGAATGGAGCATCCTACCCCTCCCCCTCCTTCCCTCCAGCTGTCACAGTCAGCCAGTAGCTCCTGTCTCTGTGCCAGGAACAGAGCCACTAGGGCCACAGCTGGGAGGAAAGGGAAGAGCTGAGCATTGGGATCATTTGCTCTTGCTGGTGGGGGCCCACCCAGCCCCCCTCACATCCTCCTACAAAGTGGCCCACTTGGCCCTGTTCCTGAAGGGTTTCAGTCCTCCCTTGGGGAAACTGGGATGGCCAGGACATCAACGCAATGGGACTTTGCATTCTGGGACCCTGGTTCCCTGACTGAGGTGGGTGGCCTAGTGTGGGGAATCTTTGGATGGATCAGCCGGTGGATGGGAGTTAGTTTACAGTGTGGAGTTAGGATCTGGAGTCAAATAGAATCGCTAACTAAGGCTTGCTTCTACAACCAATGCCTGATACTTCAGCAGGCAGGAAATGGCCTGCATCAGAGCAGGGCAGGAAGCTGTGAAAACTACATCTCCCAGCATGCAGTGTGGCCAGTCACAGGGAAAATGGGAAGGCCTGGGGTCATACCCTGGGAAGCCTTGCAATCTTTCTGAGGCAGCTCTGCATCTTGTCTGACCTTCCAAAAGGGCTCTTTCAAGCTGGAGGAGGCCTGGGTTCTCCCCAAGGTACAGATGCAGCTGTATCTTCAGACTCCCAAACACTGCATTTGCTGGCTTGGAGACAGGCACATTTGCCCTCAGCACAGCCCTGGACTTCCATTTGCACACTCAGCATGCAGACAGTAGCTTGCTTGCTCACACTGGCTCACAAATGCTTACCAAAGAACACACCCACATTCATGTCTGGACATGCATACTTGCAGAAACACTTCCCATGAAAGCCCCCATCATCCTTGGTCCAAAGAACTGGCATGACAGGCATGCCCACGGGGGAGAGGATTCCACTGGTGTGTTGTATGACCTCTTGCCTGACACCCAGAAACTGCTTCTCAGCACAAGAGTCCTGGAAATGGGCTTCTCTGAGGGGCCAGACACTGTGGAAATGTGTTCACAAATTCCACTTGGTTTGTCTCCTCAGCCCTCTCATCCCTATGACCACAGCTTGGGCCTGTTTCACAATAGGGATCACTCACTGTGGAAGCCTCTAACTGGAGTCCTGGTGCCACCACACAGCCATCTGAACACAGTTTAATCCTTGGACTTGCTACACTGCTTTACTGTGACTCCCAGGCCCCACTCTTTCCATCCCTACCACCACTGCACTCTAGCCCCTCTCCTTCCACATGTTTCCCTGCCTGCCCTGGCCCAGAGGCCCAGCTGTTCTTTATTCCCCTCTCCAGATGCACCCAGAGCAAAGCTATTACCTGAACGGATGGCCAGAATGAAAAATTAAATTTCCACTTATCCTTCTCACTCATGCATTTCCTTCAGACCAGTGGGGCTAGAAGCATCGGGCCTGGCTGTGCCCCTTGGGGTAGTCCCTAGGGACTGCAAAGGCCACAGGCTGATGTGGGAAAAAGGGTGACAAGGTCAGCTACCACTCAGAAACTGCATGAGAGGCAGGAACATAAACATCCCAGGAAAAACTTGGGATATCTGGCCGAATCCTTCAGAGGGGGCCGAAGATGTTCCCTGGAGGACTAGCCCTCAGATCCTGGGCCTATTAGGGATTTGGGGAGTGTCATGCTTTTCTAGCTCCTGGCTAATGGATCTTCAGCAACAGAGCCATGGTACAACCTTCTTCCAACTGTAGCCTAGTGATCTAAGACCACCTGGCCTCAAGCCCACTCCACGAATGCAGAAGAGCACACACCACCACACAGGCCTGACTATAGTCTCCTCTTCCTTCCCTTCCTCTCTGCTCCTGGACCTGAGCCCCAGGGAGCAGCCCTGCCCTCATGGCCAGTGCCTTTCCCCTGGGCTTTGGGAGAAGGGAGGCTGCCACTCTCTTGCTTGTCCTCCCTCTGGGGCTGGGTGTACTTGGCCTGACCTGACTGTCTCTGGTCAGTCCTCTTGTGTCATCAATGAGAGGATGCCGTTGGGCCCCTTACTTCCTTCTAATTTCCAGTCAGACACTTCCTCAGAGATCCTCCTGGTGGAGTGAGATGCCATGGTAGCTTTGGTGATCTTCTATTAGGGAAGACATAGCCATATAGGGAATACTCTGTTGTCATTTGGAGAATGGGATATAAGTTTGATTACCTCCACATTGCAGACTGGGAAGCTGAGGCTTAGAAAGGCAAAGGGCTTATTCAAGGCCACATAGCCAAGGGAGAGCCCTTACATGAACACACTCAGGCTAAGTTTGTGCTGGCCCTCAAATGACACTGCCTCCAAATGGTCACACTTCCTGTGGCTACTCCTCACAGAAAGTGGCCCAACTTTTTCTCATCCAACCCCACAGCCTCAGGGCCAGAGCTTAGGTCCCTGTAAGCTCTCATTGAGTTGGTTCCAATTTCTTCCAGAAAGGAGAAGAGTGTGACTCTGTCTTTCCCTTCTGCTTGCCATCCTGTGGGAGCCCCCACACCCTAGCCTGGCAGGCCATCTCAGCTGTTTCCAGGCACGACTCTGACACCTCTACTACAAACAGTCTCAGTGCTAGGGGCAGGGAGTTAAAGAAAACAGCAAGTGACCACACCCTCTTGTTCCCAGGTGACAGGACGGCCCCAAGGACAGGTCAGTACAGACCTGGACAACTCCAGCTGCTCTTTCTGAAGCTATGTTTGGAGCATACCAACAAACAAGTTCTCACTCTCTTGAGACAAAGGCTCAGAGCCAGTGAATCCTTAGTGTTCCCCCAAACCTTGTGTCTGGAACCCAGTTATCACTATCTAGTTTCTTGGAAGTCCAAGGTCACCCTCTGTGCCTGTCATATCCTGTCTACTTTGAGGGCAGCAGGATGATGCCCTTTCCTAGGGTGCTCTTTGTGTCACTTTCTCATCCTGCAGCAGCAAAGGTATGATGCTAGAGATACTCCTTCTTGGGAAGTTTGATGGCAATTTAATCCTCCATGTACTTGTTTTGATGCTCCTACTAATGACAACGATAATGACAGAGGTCACAATGATAATCACAGAGCCCTGGCCATTTACTGACAGACTGAGTTGTGCTGGGTTACGTGACCTACATTATGTGTCATTCTGATGGCTGCCCTTCCTTCAAGGCAGGTCATACTATCCCCATTTTACAGAACAGGCCTGCTCAGGTCATGTCCCAGGTGAAGTCTCCCTGCGGAGCCTCGTAGCACTCGTTCTCCCTGCCTGAATTACTCCATGTGTAGTGACAGAGACAGATGGGGAAAAGAGCAATTCAGTCTCAAGACCCACACATCCAGTGGCTTTTGGTTACGTCCTTGCTCCAGCCTCCACCTCACTTTCTTGTGTTTCGCTTGAGGAAAACCTTACCCTGCGGCTTTAGAGGGTTCCTCAACTTCAGGTACAGAGGTTGGAGTTCACAAGCTCCACCTTCAGACCTGCTCAGCCAAGCCTGGGTGCTAGCGTTCTGCTGTATCCCCCAAACACCATTGCTGCCAATGGCACTTCCTACTCTCTCTGATTAAGGGTCACTCTTGTCTCATATTGCTTTCCAGAAAGTGAAGGAAAAAGGCAAAGAACCATGTTCAAAGTTCCAGGGTGAATCAGGATAAAAAGATACAAACTTCCCAGCATGATGCAAGCAAAAAAGTGGGTACAGCTAGTGGAGGAACCCAAGGATAGGGAAAGGCAGGGGAGATGCAGATTCCTACCTGTGATATTGACTTCTACCTGGCCCGAACGGGTGCCGATGGTGTTGGTGGCCTCACAGATGTAGGTTCCTGCCAGGCTGTAGTTGATGGGTCCCCTGAAGAAGAGGGTTCTGTTCTGGGCCTCTACACCCTTGGGGAGAGAGCCATTCGACCTGCAGGTATTTAAAGACGCAGTGAAGGGTTATGATGTTATGACTCTTCAGCCTCAAGAAGCTGCCCCTGGGACTTCCACTTGGTTCCAGTTCTACCTACCAGACCTTTTGCTGAGTATATATGTTAGGGTCTGTTTGGGATGGAGGAAAAATAGTAACAATAATAATAATCTCTTGCATTCCACAGGTTTTTTTTTTTGAGACAGGGTCTCCCTGTAGCCCCGGCTGTCCTGGAACTCACTATGTAGACCAGGTGGCCTTGAACTCACAGAGATCTGCCTGCCTCTGCCTCCCGAGTGAGTGCTGGGATTAAAGGCATGTGCTACCACGCCTGGCTCCACAGTTTTATATTATTCAATAAGTCATGTTTTTTTTTGTTTTTGTTTTTTTTTTTTTTTTGATATAGGGTTGCTATGGAGTCCAGGTTGGTTTTGAACTCTCAGAAATCTGATCTCAACTTCTCCAATGCTGAGATCACAGGTGTGGGCCACCATGCCTGGCAGTAGTTCATGCTTGATCATCATGCTGCTGAAATGTATTCAAGGGAGGTGGGAACTACTCCTACATAACAGACGAAACCTGAGATTCAAGGCCAAGGACACACTGCTAGGAAACAGCAAAGCAGAAATTCAGCTGGGTCTTCAGTGGAGTGCTTGTGGGTCCTGCTGGTTGGATCTTGGTCTCCTAGGCAGTGGGTTGACAACAGAGACATCTGAGTCCTGACCCTAGATTCTCTGAAGTGGAACCACTAGGCCAAGGGCTGGAACCTGCATTTTGAGAAGCTATTCAGATAGGGAGATAGGATGGGCTTCATTTCAGGATCTGTGTCCTTGCTGAGCAGGTCTCAGGACTTTTACATGTGGGGAGCATACTGGGAGTTTGCCAAGGACAGGAGACCTTCTTCCCTTCTCCCGACTGCTGTTCTTCAGTTAACCCAGCAGCTCCCCAGGCTATAGAACTGACAGGCAGGCAGGTTCTGCCCAACCCTACCTACATTCAGAAACATGCTTTGTGTCTGGAAATGGAAGCTAATAGGGAGGGCCTACCAGGGCCCCCTACTTCCTAGAAAAAGTTTTAGATTCACTCTGGGCTGTCATCTTCAGGTCATCCATGTCAACCTTCTTGAATTTTTGTCTCTAGGCATCCCACCCAACTCTCTGTGAGAGTAATGTTGGTTTGAGACATTCAAGTTGGCTGAAGGGGATTTATTGCTCTATGAGGGCTAGGCCCTAGAAAGCAGAGCCAAGAATGGGATGTTGGGATATAAGGCCCATTGCTGCCTCACCCAGAGAAGATGGGGGTATTAGAGAGGATTAGGAACAAAGAAAGATCTGGGGTGCTCCGGAACACTAGCTTCCCTGGGGACACCTTGATAAAAATAAATACAGGGGGCTGGGGTGGGGTGACTCAGGCTGAATCACCAAAGGAAAATGACAAAATTCTTTATTAGTGAGAGAAGGGAAGCAGGTCATGAGGGAAGGCCCTGCTGGCAGGACAGTTTGTCCCACAGACCCTGGCATGCAAATGCAGAGCTGTATGTATATAGGAAGTACGTGTATATACATGGGCTCCCCATTCTTATGGAGGCCCCCCATTCTTATGGAGAGCGTAGACCCTAGAGATGGGTGGTTGAGCTCCTGTGGTCTAGCAAGAAGAATTCTCAGGGCATGGGACAGCCAACAGCACTCACGTGGTCCAGTGGTACTCAGTGGCTGGGGGATTAGCATCTGCTTTGCATGTAAGCTTCACATCTGTCCGCTGCAGGTACCAGTTGCCATCAAAGCCCTCAATGGTCACCTCAGGCTCATCTGTGGGGGAAGGGAGGGGTGTTTGAAAGAGGTGAGGGGAGGGGAGCAGGCAGATATAGAAAGAACAGCTAAAGAAGGAAGATAGTGAGGATATGGGAACAGTTGGGAGAGGGAGAAGGAGGCTGGTATCACAGGACCTCAGAGTAAAAGTGGCAAAGGGAAGTAGGAGGGGAGGAATAGAAGGTAAGGGAAGAGATGGGGGGAGTTGCAGCATTCTGGGGAAAAGAAGTGAAGAGGGAGAAAGAGTAGAGGACAGAAGAGGAGGGCAGGTGGTGATGGGCAAGAAGGGCCCCTGGCCCCAGCTCACACTGCACGTTGAGTGTGATGCTCTCCTTGAAGCGGTCCAGGTGATAGTTGACGATGCAGGCCAAGGACTGCTGGTGGGCCTCCCGGCTCGGCACCAAACGGTAACGGCTGATGACTGTCACCGTGCCATTGGGGTTCCGGATCTCCTGGTATTCTGCCTCACCTTTTAGTCGTGTTTCCCAGGACACTACGCTGGGGGGCTTCCCATTGGCTGAGGTGCAGGTGGCCACCAGGACCTTATCATCCTGCCCCTTCCTGGCTCGAAGCACTGCCTGGGTGCCTTCGATCCAGTTGGTAGGTTTGGCTGTGGGGAGAATATTATAGCATCTGTCAAAGTTGTTCAGGCACCCACTAGGTGCTCACCTGGGCTGCCCCTGCCTTTCAGCCATGCTTCACAACAGCCCTTCCCAGAATTTCTCTTGGGAAGTTCTTCATGCTAGTAAATCCTCCATGCTGTAATATCTGTCCCACTGTTAGGCCTTCTTGGAGTCTTGACATGCTCAAACCAAGCCACACCCTTTCTTGCCATGATGTCTGAAGCATCTGTCTTCCTGATCCCCATGGTTTGGAGCTCCAATCTGAATACAGTTCCTGCCCCTGCCCAAAGTTAAGGTTCCTGCCCTCAATCCCTTGTGGACAGCCTGGCTAGCTGAGTAGAAGCCACCATGCCTGGAACTTTGGGAGCATGTCTACCTAACAGGGATGTCTGGGGCCACTGAGGCACATGCTGAGAATGACCGAGCCCTCTGGACAGGCAAGGGGAGAGGCTCAGGGCAGCTTACCCATTACAGTGAGATTGAGCTGGCTCTCACGGTTGCCAGTAGGAAAGGTGGCAAACTCGCAGATGTACACGCCCTCATCTTCCAGCTCCAGGTGGGAAAGGCGAATGGTGCCATCAATAAAGGAGGGCCGCAGGAACTCCACACGTTCACGGTAGGGAGCCAGCACAGAGACACCCATCGCTGGGTTATAGATAGCCACATTCTGCTTGGAGCCATTGGTGGCTTTCTGCCATGTGACTTGGGTGATCTTCACACTTGGCAGTGGGTTGGCAAAACTACAGTGCAGTACCACATCGGTTCCAATAAAGCCATACATGGAGTCATTCACCTGCACCACCTGGGTGTGGGCACCTGGTTGGGGGGGGGGATGGCAGGAAGTGGTCAGTGCCAGGCACTACTCCCCACCTGATCACTCTCTATGCCTTTACAGCAGCCATTAATTGTTATTTTATTTTTGTTTATATTTTTAAATTTTTTTAATTGAATTTTTGTGTATTTCATACAGGACATCCTAATTATCTTTATGCCTCCTTCCCCACTGACCCCCTCCCATACACCCTCTCCAATGTAATTCAGACATTCTGAATTGTGTTAAGCCCTATCAAGTCAAGTTAGTGTCCCCAGTTGTCCCTCAGTGCAAGTTCATCCACTAAGGTCTAGTCAGCCTATCTAGAATCCCTTTCTTTAAGCAGATCAGCTCTTCCTTACCCAGCATTAATCAGCTGCCAATAATTCTTTGGCTAAGATTGGAACCTGCTGCCCATTTCCAGTTCTGTGCTAGGTTTTTGTCTGCTTGAGTTTACATGGGTCTTGTGCATGTTGACACTATTGCTATAGGTTCATATGAGAAGAATCCCAGAAGCCTGTAGGACTTCCTCCCTGGTTCTTACAATTTTTCTGCCCCCTCTTCTGCAATGGTCCCTGGATGGGTGGATTTTAATATAGGAGACCTAAGGACCCACGCTCTGCAAATTTAAGACTCCATATTTTGCACACAGTAAGAAATTACATTTGTTTAGGGATGTGACAACCTTGGGGTTTTCTCTAAGATCTATGACTTCTCCAGCTATGTGTATTTGGCTAGGTTTAAAGGTACTGGCCACCAAGCCTAATGACCTGAATTTGATCCCTGGAACCCACATGGTGGAAGGAGGCAACCAACCCCTGAAAGTTGTTCTCTGACCTCCATAGATACATCATGGCACTCATACACACACACATACACACACACACACACACACACACACACACACTCTAAATGAATATAATTTAAAAAATTAAAAAACCCACTCTGGATAATATTGAAAAATACCAAGAAAACAATAAGATCATCCCACAATCCTGTTGTTTAAAAACGTTACTGATAATCTTGTAGGATCTATCTTCTTTACCTTCTCACTCTACATTTATCTACTAAACTATCATTTCTTTCGTTTTTCCTTTGGAGATACAGCCTTACTAGGTAGCTTAGACCTGTCTGGAATTTTCTTTGTAGACCAGGCTGGCCTTAAATTCATGATCTTAGCTTCCTGAATGCTGAGATTACAGACATGCACCGCCAACATGTCTAGTTTACTATCTATATTTTTTGCATGTATATGTGTGTGATATGCATGCATATATATGTGTATACTTGTGGAGGCCAGAGATTGATAGTGAGTGTCTTATTTCTCTCCACTTTATATATTGAGGCAGGGTCATTGGAACTCAGAGCTTAATGATTGGGTTAGTCTGTCTAGCCAGCTTGGTCTAGGGATCCCATCTCTGTCTCCTGAGAACTGGAGGTGGGCTACCACACCCATCTGGCATTTATGTGGGTGCTGAGGAGCCCATGTCTGGTCCTCATGTTTGTGTGGCAAGTGCTTTATCCATTGATCCATCGCCTTAGCCCCTATGTTTTAAAAACAAAATTAGAATCATGTTGTACAGATTGTACCACATGTTACTTTTCACTTAGTGATGTATTATCAATGTTGTTCATTATGTATTATCATGTTAGGAACATGCCTACATCCTATTTTTTTCTTTTTGTCTGGTTCTGGGGATAGAGCCCATAGTCTTGCAAGTGCTCTACCACTGTGCTACATCTAAGCCCTGCTCCCCTTTTAAGGCAGGGTTTGGTTACATAGTCAAGTTTGATCTTGAACTAGCCATCCTCCTGCCTCAGCATCCAGAATACTGGGATTATAAGTGTGTGTCCCCATACCTAGAATATCCTCATTTTTGATGAGGGTTGAATGCTTGCTTTCCAAGTAGGGTTTAAGCCAGGAGCCTTCCTAGGCCTTGGTTCCCTCATCAAATGAGTCAGATAATTCAGTCTTCTTATCTCACTGTTGCTGGGGAACCAGATAGCATAATGGGTAAGAAGGAATGGCAGGGGGCAGGAAGCTGGGGGAGGAGCTGTAATCATGGTTACTACAGTTCCCTAAGGTGCACTGACTCCTTGTCCCTGGCTAGGCAGAGGGACATGAATCCTGCTGAAGGTGGGTCTCTGCTGAGTCCCTCATTGCCTTTATAATCAAGTCCAAATACTTAAAAAAGATGTATTTTTAATTTTTAATTATGTTTTTATGTGTGTGTGTGTGGGGGGGGTCTGTATACATGCATGCCATAGAGGCCAGAGGCATCAGATCTCCTGAGACTAGAATTCAGGCAGTTATGAGCTACCTGACATTGACATGGATGCTGGGAACTGAACTCAGGTCTTCTGGAAGAGCAGATTGCTCTCTTAACTGCTGAGCCAGATCTTTACCAGTGTGTTGTCCACATCTCTTCATAAACCAGGCTTTCCATCTACATCCAATCAGACCCATCCTCAGAAAACAGTACATTTCTGTGTTTCCTTCTCTCCCTCCTCCCATCTATTTGAGTACTATTTGCTGAGTGACCATATACCAGGATCTATTATCAGTACTTGGGTCCTATCAGCTTGGTCCCCAGGGAGCACAAAGCCTGTCCACAAAACACCTCTGGACTCTTACACAGTTCCCTCAACCGAAAGGGCCCTTCCCCTTCAGTGCAAACTGCTTGAGCCCTTCCTTTGGGAAGTTTCCTGGTCTAGTCTCCAGGATACTTCTAGTGTAGCTTTTCTGCCTTAGAATGTGGCTGCTTATACCTCTGACTTTTCTCCTGGACTATGAACTCCTTCAGGGAATTCTTTCCTTTCCTGAATTCCCCAAAGCCCAACCTGGCCCAGCATCTGGCATACATGGCAGGCCTCCGTGTTTCCTTCTTTTTAGTGTAGCAAATATTTATTGCTGGGAAAACTGCAGTGGAAGCCAAGAGAGAAGATTCCCAGAAAGAGCGGGCAACTGGTGACAGGACAATGAGTAGGTGCCCTCCAGTCTCCTCATCTAGAATGTCTTCCCTTTGAGCTGCCACAGCCCAAACCTGGCTGACTCCTCTAGCCTTGGACAGCCACCCCTAGTCCCAGGCTCTGCCCTCTAGCTCTCTCCAACTCTTAGTCTGTCAAATCCTCAAAGTTGTATTCTTATCATGGGCTTGTTCATGGGAAGTCCCGTGGTTGCTGAGTGATCACAAGTGTGCACTTCACGTCTGACATCTTTACTCATTTTACTGAGTGCCATCAATATTATCAATAGTGCCAGGCACTCTACCAACCTAGAGGCAGGAGGATGGCTCCAAGGGAGCCTGGAATCCAAGAGGGGAAAGTTGGGGCTTCCCCTTGCCTGCTCAGTGTGATGGAGCAGCAGGCAGTCTGGTGAAGATTCCAAAATCATGGTCACTTCAGTATATTGCTCTCTGCTCTGCTCTTCTAGAGAGCACAATGACTATGGGATTCCTGGGGCTTAGCACACAGTAGGCACTCAAGAAATGCATGCTAAGCTAGGCATGGTGGGACATGTCTGTAATCTCAGCAATCAGGAGACAGACTCAGGAGGAACACAAGTTCTAGATTATATAGTAAGACCCTGGAAAAGAAGGGAGGGAGGGAAGAAAGGACAGAGAAAAAGGCGGGGGGGGGAGAGGGAGGGCAAGGCAGGTGTGTACAGAAAGTTGATCATTTGTAAATTTAAGCAGGCACAGGGGAGGGAGGGAGAGGGAGAGGGAGAGGGAGAGAGAGAGAGAGAGAGAGAGACAGCCCCTCATCACTCTGAGAGTTTCATTCACATTCCTATTTTCTATACCTTTCACATCCACATAGTCCTTTAAAGTACACAGGGTGTCCCTACCCTACCTGCTGGCCCTCAGCCAGTCTGTAGGTACCCACCTGACACCTCAGGCAGAAGTGCTGGGGACTGGAGGAGGTACAAAGGGAGACATGTGGCCCATAGTTGGGGGCTGGACCTCCACCTGCCTCTGCCATTCACATTCCTATTTTCTATACCTTTCACATCCACATAGTCCTTTAAAGTACACAGGGTGTCCCTACCCTACCTGCTGGCCCTCAGCCAGTCTGTAGGTACCCACCTGACACCTCAGGCAGAAGTGCTGGGGACTGGAGGAGGTACAAAGGGAGACATGTGGCCCATAGTTGGGGGCTGGACCTCCACCTGCCTCTGCCTTTGGCTGGCCACTATGGGACCTTGACCAATCATTTTCCATTTCTGAGCCCATTGCTCCTTCCTCTGAAAAGGAACAGCTCGGCTGCCCTGGGTCTCTATGCTCCCTTCTGGCTCTCTAACTGTCTGGTGGCTGCTCAGCTTGTGCCCAACCCAGAAGCAGCCCTGAGAGGAGGTCAGAGGGTCAGACAATTCAGTACTCTTGCTGACAGGCTGGCTGGTAAGCAGCTAACCCCGGATCCTCCCCAGCAGGACAAGTAGGCGCTCCCTACAGCTCCCTTAGCCTCCACTCCCCAAGCCTGCTGGAGGCTGCCCAGCAGCTGAGATAATGTGGGCATAATTGGGGAACTTGCGCCACACAAAGTCAGGAACTGGAAAAGCCAGTTGGGAGGGCTTGGGCCATAGGTGAGAGTTGGGGGAAGGGGTGTGGGCACCAAGAACCATCTTGGGATTGTGTCAAGCATGGTGGACCTGCAGGGGTACATGGCCCACTGAGCCCCCACTATCCTGTCTCCTTTCATCCTTTTGGTAGGTGTGGGGCATGCAGGGGGCAGGCCCTGGTATACAGGCTGACCTTCACATGCTGCCTCCAGAGCAGTGACCACACCCTTTAAGTCTGAGAGCCAGGAGGGGAGGTTGCTGTAAGGGGCTCAGGTGCCTAGGAAAGGGGGGGGGTGTCCTTCCCACCCAAGTCTGTACTGGGTGGAAGCCATTTTTTCCTCCATAGGGCTCTCCCAGTAGTTCTAAGATGGGCAGGAGTAAAGTTCCTGGCCATTCCCCCACTGCACACAAAGTAGACTTCTCAGGACCTGGCATGCTCACTTTTGT